AACAACAAGGCCAGTGGAGGTGATGGCATTCCAGTTGAATTATTTAAAATCTTGAAAGATGATGCTGCTAGGCTGCTACACTCAATATGACAGCAAGTTTGGAAAACTGAGGATTGGAAGATATCAGTCTACATCCCAATCCCAAAGAACGGCAGTGCCAAAGAATGCTCCAACTACCATATAATTGCACTCATTTCACACCCTAGCAAGGTTATGCTCAAAATCCTCCAAGGTAGGCTTCAACAGTATGTGGACCGAGAACACGCAGAAGTACAATCCGGATTTCGAAGGGGCAGAGGACCTAGAGAGCAAATTGCTAATATGTGCTGGATTATGGAGAAAGACAGAGAGTTCCAGAAAAACATCTACTTCTGCTTCATAGACTATGAAAAAGCCTTTGACCATGTGGACCACAACAAACTAAGTTCTTAAAGAAATGGGAGTGGCTGACCACGTTATTTATCTCCTGAGAAATCTATATGTGGGACAGGAAGCAACAGTTAGATCTGGATATGGAACAACCAACTGGTTCCAAATTGGGAAAGCTGTGATATATGGAAGTGAGAGATGGACCATAAGTAAGACTGACCGCCAAAGAATTGATGCTTTTGAATTGTGGTGCTGCAGGAGACTCTTGAGAGTCCCCTGGACTGCAAGGAGAACAAACCTTTCAATTCTAAAGGAAATCAACCCTGAGTGCTCACTGGAAGGACAGATCCTGAAGCTGAGGCTCCAATACTTTGGCCATCTCGTGAGAAGAGAAGACTCCCTGGAAAATACCCTGATGTTTGGAAAGTGTGAAGGCAGGAGGAGAAGGGGACGACAGAGGATGAGATGGCTGGACAGTGTTATCAAAGCTACCAACATGAATGTGACCCAACTCAGGGAGGCAGTGGAAGACAGGAGGGCCTGGTGTGCTCTGGTCCATAGAGTCACGAAGAGATGGACATGACTTAATGACTAAACAACAAGAAAAGTAGGGGTTCTAAATTCTCAGCAACTCTACTAGGATGCTACGATTTTTAAACATTGGAGTGGAGAAAATAAAACACTTAAAGCGGACAAATTTCCAATGTGGATAAATCTGTAACAAATTCTTTTTAGTGCAGTGTAGCTTATGTCGTAGAATACTTTCTTCCATCCATCAGAGGGCAGCAGTGCACTTTCGTGGAGAACTTAAGTTACCTGATTGTTAACTGAATATGAGATGAGATTGAGGATTAATGTCACTTCACATATTAAGTTTTGGCTGCTTCTTTACCAGTGCAAACATGTCTGAAATTTTGCAGGGGGAAAGTAAAGTTAAGCACTCCAAAGGTTCAAGCCCCTTACTTCTCCTTTTTAAAAACACACACACTATTGGGACTTCAAGACCTATTTCTTTGTGATACCTAGTTTGCCAGAGCACCGTCTGGGCTAAAGACCTGCAGAGATGCTTGTGAGCTGCTGAAAGAGGCTGACTTACTTAGGGTTTCTTTCCTCCGTTGTTTTTCTCAACAGGTACAGGCTACTGTGGTGGGCCTCTTGGCAGCTGTGGTAGCTGTCTTTCTGGGTGCTCTGTCCAAGGGGTACGTGGAACTGAACCAAGCAGCGGTGCTATGTGCCAGCAGTTTGACGACTGCATTTATAGCTGCTCTCACACTAGGTAAGTTTTTAAAGTTCTTCTCATTCCTCAGGGTTTGTATGGGTCTGTGTGTACCTGACCTGCCAGCTATTGAACCTGGAACCTTATGTATTTAGAATATTGGATCTGAGCTACAGCTTCCTTTTGTGTATTGGCTTACTAGGCCGCTTTGTGATCCAAGATGATTTGAAAATTGGAACATGGATGAATGAAGTAATTTGTTTTTGAAACCTTGCCCTCCATCTTGAATTTTCTCAGATCATCATCTGCCAACAGGATACTTCCTTTTTTGGTAGCTCTGCCAAACCTGACTTCTGTACCCTTTTTATTGTGATAATTTTTAATACAGTATCATGAACAGTTCTGAAAGGGAGGCATTGTTTACCTGATTCTGGAATGCAGTTTTGGCGATGATATGATATAATATAAGATGACAAGAGGGGGGGACACTAGGCACAGAAGGAATAGCAATGATTTCGTCTCTTTCATTTAATAAGTGGTGATAAACAGCTACTTTGAGGGAGCTGTTTATGCATGGAAAGAGCTCGGCTATGTTGCATACTGTTAACTTTCAGGCCACTTCTGTTAATATGACCCAGAAATTTATAAAAGCACCTGGAGATTTTCAAAGCCATTTCCTTCCTTTCTCCTGCCACATGCAGTACGATTACTCTTTGTAACTGTGACAGCAGTGGCAGACCTTGTAATAGGTACTTCTTTGGGTTAAAATACCTATACCTAATAAATAAAATACATTACCATTGGGATTCTGGGAGTTGTAAGCCAAGAAAGTAACTTTCCAAAACTTGCTGCCACTTCTCTTAGAAATATACAATTGATATCTAGAGTATTTGGGGGTGGGGAAGATTAAAACTTAAAACTATTCTGCGGTTGTAGGGATGGGCAATTCAAGTGCTTTGCCTGTGTCTAGGAGAAATAAAGTGTTATTTAATCATTAAGCGGTGTCCGACTCTTCCTGACCCCATGGACCAGATCACGTCAGGCCCTCCTGTCTTCCACTGCTTCCCGGAGTTTGGTCAAATTCATGTTAGTAGCTTCGGTGACACTGTCCAACCATCTCATCAGGATCTTTCCCACTGAGTCTTCTCATCTCATGAGATAGCCAAAGTATTGGAGCCTCAGCTTCAGTGAGCACTCAGGGTTGATTTCCTTCAGAACAGATAAGTTTGATCTCCTTGCAGTCCAGGGGACTCTTGCTTTCCTCCCAAGAGGCAGGCGTCTTTTAATTTCATGGCTGCTGTCACCATCTGCAGTGATCAGGGAGCCCAAGAAAGTAAAATCTGTCACTGCCTCCATATCTTCCCCTTCTATTTGCCAGGAGGTGATGGGACTAGTGGTCATGATCTTAGTTTTTTTGATGTTGAGCTTCAGACCATTTTTGTGCTGTCCTCTTTCACCCTCATTAAGAGGTTCATTAATACCTCTTCACTTTCTGCCATCAGAGTGGTATTATCTGCATATCTGAGGTTATTTATATTTCTTCCGGCAATCTTAATTCCATCTTGGGATTCCTCCAGTCCTGCCTTTCACATAATATGTTCTGCATATAAGTTAAATAAACAGGGAGACAATATACAGCCTCATTGTACGTCTTTCCCAATTTTGAACCAATCGGTTGTTCCATATCCAGTTCTAACTGTTGCTTCCTGTCCCACATATAGATTTCTCAGGAGGTAGATAAAGTGGTCAGGCACTCCCATTTCTTTAAGAACTTGCCATAGTTTGTTGTGGTCCACACAGTCAAAAGCTTTTTCATAGTCAATGAAGCAGAAGTAGATGTTTCTCTGGAACTCTGTGTCTTTCTCCATAATCCAGCACATGTTAGCAATTTGATTTCTAGTTCCTCTGCCCCTTCGAAATCCGGATTGTACTTCTGCGAGTTCTCAGTCCACATACTACTGGAGCCTATCTTATAGGATTTTGAGCATAACCTTGCTAGCGTGCGAAATGAGTGCAATTGTATGGTAGCTGGAGCATTCTTTGGAACTGCCCTTCTTTGGGATTGGGATGTAGATTGATTTCTTCCAATCCTCTGACCACTGCTGAGTTTTCCAAACTTGTTGGCATATTGAGTGTAGCACCTTAACAGCATCATCTTTTAAGATTTTAAATAATTCAACTGGAATGCCATCACCTCCACTGGCCTTGTTAGCCATGTTTTCTAAGGCCCATTTGACTTCACTCTCCAGAATGTCTGTCTCAAGGTCAGCAACCACACTATCTGGGTTGTCCAGGACATCTAGATACTTCTGGTATAATTCCTTGGTGTATTCTTGCCACCTCTTCTTGATGTCTTCTGCTTCTGTGAGGTCCCTACCATTTTTGTCCTCTACCATGTCCTTTGCACAAAATGTTCTTTTAATATCTCCAATTTTCTTGAACAGATTTCTGGTTTTCCCCTTTCTATTATTTTCCTCTATATATTTGCACTGTTCATTTCAGAAGGCCTCTCGTCTCTCCTTGCTTTTCTTTGGAAGCCTGCATTCCATTTTTTATAACTGTCCCTATGTCCCTTGCATTTGGTTTCCCTTCTCTTCTCTGCTATTTGTAAGGCCTCGTTGGACAGCCACTTTGCTTTCTTGCATTTCCCTTTCTTTGGGATGGTTTTTGTTGCTGCTTCCTGTACAATTTTACAAGCCTCCATCCATAGTTCTTCAGGCACTCTATCCACCAAATCTAGTTCCTTAAATCTGTTCTTCACTTCCATTGTGTATTCATAAAGGATTTGGTTTAAATTATACCTGACTAGCCCAGTGGGTTTTTCCTACTTTCTTCAGTTTAAGCTTGAGTTTTGCTATAAGAAGCTGATGATCAGAGCCACAATCAGCTCCAGGTCTTGTTTTTCTGACTGTACAGAGCAGCTCCAGGTCTTGTTTTTGCTGACCTTACAGAGCCTTCACGAATTGCTGCCTTGCCATGGTGAATGGGCTTGAGTTATTCAAAGAAGATATGGGCTATGCCGTGCAGGGACGCCCAAGACGGACAGGTCATAGTGGAAAGTTCTGACTAAACATGATCCACCTGGAGCAGGAACTTGCAATCCACTCCAGTATCTTTGTCTAGACAACTCCATGAACAGAGAAATAAAGTAACCACAGCTAATCCTTGGTTTGTAGGTTGTGTGCTTGTACACATATAAAACTAATTATGAAATAACAGGAATGTAACTAAAAGGGTTTATGTAAGACTTCTTCCCTGGTGTTACTTGATTCTTGAAGTGTTTTGTAAGCAGAAAAGAGAATTTCAGTATTGCTTTAAGCAAATTTCACTGGCAAAGAGCTGTAATGAAGAAAGCTTTGATGGTACAGCAAGTTAAGGAGGTTTTGCTACAAGGCCCGTTCATGTGAAGACAAGTCCCAAGCAAACAGTCCATATTAATAAGTTAGAGACTTGGTTTCTAGTTCTTACTAAGTCTTATCATCATCAGCTTAGTGCTCCTACGAGCTCCCTTGACAGTGGCTGCACGTGCCAAGGGACAAATCTATCCCTCCATTATGTATCTCACACCCATGTGTGTATGTGCTTTCAGTTTCCATGCCATACACATTTCTCATTCTATATGTGGATGAAAGACCAAAGGCAGGGAAAGGTCTATAAAATTGTTCACTTCTTTCTTAGTTCAACTCCCATGCTCATGTATGCCTACTAGCTAGCAGCTTCAGCACACCTTGAGATGGAGCCAGGTATTTATGGACCTTTGGAAGAATAAGACAGAAGAATTATAATTCTGGATCAGATCCAAGGAGTAATGGCAACTGTAGTCCCACACATCTGGAGGGCACTAATTCTTGAAGTGTATAACCAGCTGATGCTGGAAATAGAATGTTCTTATTAATTATATTTCATCACATTCTTCTTTCAAGTAGCTTAGGATGGTATTTGTTAAGTTTTATCTCATCTATATTTACAACAGGTCCATAAAATAGATTAGGCAGGGAAATAGGATTGCCACTACAGTGATCAGGAACCCATCGCTCTGTTGCTAACCAAAAAAGAGTATTATTGTTTTACATGCTATCAAGTTGCTTTCAACTATAGTGATCCTATGTCTATGTATTAATAACCTCCAAAAGGTCTTGTCCTTAACCGCCCTGCTCCAGTCTTGCAACCTAACAGCCAAGATTTTTTTTTTTGGTGAGTCATTCCACCATGCGTTAGATTTTCATCTTATCGTACTGCCTTCAACTTTCTTAGCATTATTATTTTTTCAGTGAATCTTATCTTGTGATCTGCCCAAAGTAAAATGTCCTCAATTTATTCATTTTGGTATCCATTGAAACTTCAGGCTTGACATGCTCTAGAACCCACTTATATGTCTTTCTGATGGTGTCTGGTATTTGTAATGATCTCCTCTGATACTATATTTCAAATGAATCAACTTTTTACCATTCAGCTTTCTTCACTTCCAGCTTTCATACCCAAAAAGTAATCAGGAGTACCATAGGGTGGATAATCTTGACCTTGTTTTTCAGTGACACATCCTTACTCTTAAGGATATTTTCTAATTCTTTCATTGCCACCCTTCTAAGTCTCAGTCTTCCTCTTGGCTACTGAATTCATGATGGAAACAAAGCATAGTAAATCTTTAACACTTTTTTTATTGTCCATGTTAAAGTTATATAATTAATTTTTAATGTAATGGTTATTTTTCTTAGTGTTCATCTGTAACTTTGCTTTTGCACTTTTTTCCTTAACCTTCATCAGGCATTGCTTTCAGTCTTTGCTGCTTTTTGCCACTAAAATAGCATCATTGGGATATCCTAAATTATTGATGTTTCTTCCACCAATTTTTGCTCCTCCTTCTAATTGAGCTTTCAGTATTCCATGTTCTGTAGATAAGTTAAACAGACAGAGTGATAAAGTGCATTCTTGTTACACTAGATCAGAGAAAAATCCAAGAAGATCACTGTTGCTCACTCATTCTCCCTTCTCTTTCCCTCCAAATTTATATTTGAACAGGAGAGCAAGAGAGCTTAGAACCCCTAAGCCTTCCATTAGGGCCCAGAGCCTTATCCACAGGCAGGGAGTTGTAATTCATTAGAGCTTCCAACATCCACAAAGTCTTTGCAAATCATGATTCCCAGAGAGTTCTGCACTGGACGTTTCCAGTCGTTAAGGTTTCCAACCCTAATGGAGGTTCCTGAGGCAGTTCCCTTTCCCACAGTTGCTAGAAAATAGGCCTTCACTGAGGAATAGGAAGGAGGAAGGTTGAATGTTGGCTTCAAAAAAGCCTGGGTACATGGCACAACTACTCTGGTAACATTTTGGATTGTCAAGTCAGATAAGCTGACACCTGAACCTCTTCCTCAGACTTCTGCAGAACTTTATAGACATCCAAGGAAAAATCAAAAGCCTATGTTTGTCACAGTTGGTATTTATCACAAAAGGGTTAATCCCAGTGTGATCCAGAGAAATAGTTTGCACCTTGTACAGTTCTCCCTTCTGACTGCAAACAACCTTATCTCCAGGGCTTTGCAGTCCAAAGGCTAAGTCCTCCAAGAAAAGATTTTTAAATAGGAGTCTTAATTGTTGTTACACCTACTGTAACTCCAGTGGCTTGTTATTCAGTATCTGGCAATATGGCACTATGCCACTGATTTGGCTAAAAGTTTGCAAGGCTTGAATGAACAAGGAGCAATAACAAGCTTCTAGACATCCCCTCCTCAAAAAACTGGAAAACCAGAACATTATAATTTGAAGAGTGCAAATTATAAAGCTTGCATCCTTCGGTTATCATTTGCAAAACAAGTTAAATTGGCAGGATTTTTATGAAGAATTGTCTTTCTCAGCTGAAGCTAGCTAATTGTTTTGAAATGATAATAGTAAACTATTGTTCAAGCCTCGATTTTAAAAACACTTTCATTTTCGATACACTCCTTAATTATTTTTACACTCTATATACACAAAATTTCAAACCTCAACATTCCTTCCTCCACAGCGGAAAACAGGGATATCTTTTTCTTAACTCTTCACTCTTAATAAAATGTCTGTTGGTTGCCCTCTGAACTGCCATTGGTCTGATGTCACTTGTCTGTGATGTCTTGCAGCTTTCCTTATTCACAAATCTTGTGATGCTCAGTGCAGGTCCTACACTCTCAGGCTTCAGCTATTCAAACCTTTGTTGTTGTTGTTGCTTTTCTGGCTTTTTATTGGCCTGAGTGAGACTTTCAAAACTTTAAAATAAAACTTTTAAAAGTAGAAGTAAAATTAAATGCAATAGACTCCTTTGAAATTTGTTGCTTCAAAAAATTTTACTGAGAAAGAAATATATCCATTTTTTAGACATAAAATGTCCTTAAAGTCCTTAGAATTGGTTAGGGTTCCAATTGTAAAGTAGAACAGCTATTCAGTTTTATTTAACTGAATCACTTGTATTAAATGTTGATTGAAGAATTTGAGCATCTATCTGTACCCAGTTTTTTAAACCCTCTTAGAGAAAATATTGATATCCAGACATCTTTTTCTCATTTTTCAGAAAGAAGGAAATCTGCACGCCAAGTGTCTGGTTTGCTGAATATATATTATATTTTCCTCTTGAGGTCTATCTGTTTATACATTTTGTGCAGTTTGTTGCAGTACAGTTCTTATGCTGTACCAAAATGTAGAAATATAAAAGTGGCCTTGCAGACAATGTTGTGATGAGAAATTCTCACCTTTGAATCTTCTTCACCCTTTCATAGCACTATCACCCCACGTCTTACAGGTAGAAGTGTGTATGTGTTTTTTTTTCTTAAGAGGGCTTAATAAGTTCCTTCTGTGCCATTAGGATAGGAATTAGACTTCATTATGGCAAGTTCATAGCTTAAATTGGCTCCCCTGGATTTTCTTTATCTGGTGAGGTCTAGGACTCATTTTTGTCTAGCTTGTAGCTTCTTCAAGATTATTGACATAGGCAAACCTTCTCCTTTTCCATCCATCCATAACCATTCCATTTCGTGGAATTTCACACAGTGAGGTTAAAGCATTATTGAGTGCATAAAACCCAGAACAATATCTGATTAGTTCACCAAAAAATGTCAACTAACAAAATAGGTATATAAATCTTTTGCATCTTTTGGATGATTATTTGATTCACTTGACTACAATTTTGCAAGTCTTGAAGAACAAAGGCCAATAGCATAAAAGATCTAGATCCCCCCAAAACCTAAAAAATCAGAACATTATACTTTTTAAAAGTGCAGATTATAAAGCCACTGTCCTTTGTTTACAGTTGTCTATAATTTGCAAAAGAAGGTTAACTGGCAGGATTGTTATGATAGAGTGATGTTGCTCAGATGGAACTAATCAAGCCTTGATAAGACAATCCAGATTTTTCTATGATTTGGAGAATTCGCAGAAAAAATATGGGAAAAGTCAAAGAGAGATACAGTACAAAGAGTCTGTCTCTCTCTGATCACAATTCCTCAACCTTTTACGTACACTGTATTCTTGACCAGTCTCTCTGCTGGCAACCTCTACCTGACAAGGCTTCACCAGCCCATTTATAGAGAGAGACAGTCCTCTCTTTTTTATAGGTGGTGAAAGATGTGAGGCTGAAGTGAAGCATTCATGAGTTAAGCAATAATAAATATACCCTTTCATCCATCAATGGCTGGACTATCTCTCTCCACTCCCCACTTTACAATCCTGTGACACATTGCAAAATGTAGCAATCAGATGACTGCCCAGCCATGTGCATGTGCTGTAACCCTAGTTAACCTGTCTCAGCAGCAGATGTAGATTTACTGTGGGCCTGGACACACTGCAGGGACCAGTTTCCTGCCCTAAATCCACTGGAAGCAGCACTGAATATTGGAAGCAGGGAGGAGACAAAACCAGAAATGGCCAGCAATCTACTTCTGTTAACACTTAAAAATGCAAGTCAGAGCCTCCAGCTTGTTTAAAAGGAGAGTTGCCAAATTTCACTCCTCCTTCATCTGAATCTAATCTAGCTTTCTGTATGATACATTTTGCACCCTAGTGCAATTTGTTCCCCTAATCTGTTCAATTGCAAGCAGAATGTATCATATAAAAAGCTATATAGAACAGGAAAATCCCAAGAGATCAAGACAACAGTTTTTGTATTCCAGGACAACAGGTATTTTTCCCACTGACTTTTTCCCCCCAGGAGTTTAAGAGAGGCCCGAGCTACAATTTGGGGTGTATGGAGGCAGGATGCATTATTTCCACCAGCCTGTTGCATTCCTTCCCGTGTAGCACGAAATTCCCTTCTCCCCCATACCTATTTTAACCTGTTTTATTTCCTACAGAGTTTATCTCTAGGTTTGCTTGTTGGCTGTGTTCTAGAAAATGGTTAGCTTGTTTCAGTGCCATCTAGTTAAACCAAAACAAAGACAAACAAATCCAAAAGTCTTGCGCCAACTTTAAGACTAAAAGATTTATTTCAGGGTGAGGTTTTGTAAACTGAGGAGAAAATCTTCCATCTTGAACTATTCCAGCCATGGTCACTTAACTTTTCCCAAACCAATCTAAATCTGATTCTCTGTTATTTGTAGGTCTGGTTATGATTGGTGTGATCCTTGGTGCAAGAAAAGTGGGGATAAACCCAGACAACGTTGCAACCCCTATAGCTGCAAGCCTTGGAGATCTTATCACTCTTTCTCTACTCGCTGGAATCAGTAGCACCCTCTTCAAACACATAGGTATGTCAGTTTATCTGTTCATTCATGTATGTGCACATACTGCATATATCTGAGGATTTTAAAGCAGTGTACAAGAGTAAAAATGAAAAGTAATATATACAGTGGTGTCTCGACTTACGAACGTCCCAACATACGGCCATTTCGAGTTACGACCAGCTCCAGCCTCAAAATTTTGCTTCAACTTGTGGCCGGAGCTTCCAGTTACGAACACAAAAAAGGCAGGGGAAAAAGGCGGGAAATTCAAATTGCTAACTGTTGGTGGTGAAGAGGCTGCTTCTTTGTAGCTCTTTCGCCCGAGCAGTTAGAGACTGTGCGATTGGAGGAGGCTTTGGACTGCCTGGTAAGGTAAGGTGCTGCTTTCTGCTTTTTAAAAACTGTTCTGGGTGTTTTTGCAGCGTGGTTTTGGGCTGGGGGTTTATGTTTCTGTGCTGTGATGGGTCTTGGGGTGTTTGTTTGATTTTTGGTTCCCCCCATTTCCGATGGGTCTTGGGAGGTTTGTTTGTTTGTTGGGTTCCCTCCCATGTCCAATGGGTCTCGGGGGAGTTGGTTGCTTTTTGTTTTTTTCCCATTTCCGATGGGTCTTTGGGAGTTTGGTTCCTTTTTGTTTTTTTCCCATTTCCGATGGGTCTTGGGGGGTTTGTTTGTTTTTTCCCACCCATTTCTGATGGGTCTTGGAGGGTTGGTTGCTTTTTGGAGTTTTTCCCCATTTCCGATGGGTCTTTGGGAGTTTGGCTGCTTTTTGGGGGTTCCCCCCATTTCCGATGGGTCTTGCATGCTCCCCTTGCTTTTTGCTTTGTTTTCTTTGCATTTCCAATGTGCTCCGTTTGCTTTTTCCTTTGCTTTCTTTGCATTTCCAATGGGTCTTGCATGCTTGATTGCTTTTCTTTTCCTCCTTCAGCCGAAAGGGATTAATCGCATTTCCGATGGGTCTTGTAGTGATTTTTTGTTGTTTTTGTTATTTTTTTTCCTTCGGCCAGAATGGATTAATTCCATTTCAATGCATTTCAATGGGAAAAGGTGCTTCGACTTACAACCATTTCGAGTTATGACCGGAGTTCTGGAACCGATTAAGTTCGTAAGTCAAGGCACCACTATATACAGCAGAAAAATTAGAATATAGTATTCATGTTGTGTTTATTATTTCAATTGTATCTGAAGAAATGTGTTACAGGCCATGGAAACCTATGCCAAATACATTTTGTTAGTCTTTAGGATGCAAATAGAGATTTTGTTAGTCTTGCTAGAACAGACTACCCTTTTCCCCAAAAAATAAGACCTAACCTGAAAATAAGCCCTGGTATGATTTTTCAGAATGCTTGTAATATAAGCCCTACCCCAAGAATAAGTCCTAGTTAAGTGAAACCCCGTCCTCCACCATTGTGCAGCAACGAGAAGAAGATGACACGACTATATTTGAATAAATATAAATGGTTGGACATGAAAAAAATAAAACACCCCCTGAAAATAAGCCCTAATGCATTTTTGAGCAGAAATTAATATAAGACCCTGTCTTATTTTCGGGGAAACATGGTAATATGGCTAATTCCCTAGAAATACCTCTGGTGTCCATGAAGTAGGTGTCAGATTGGACTACAAAGGAAACGCTTGTAAAAATAGTTATATTTTCATTGTGTGTTTAAAAATGAAATCAAACTATCCATTCAGTCAGATCCGACCCTTGGCAATTTCATGAGTTATCTCTCTCCATGATTTTCAATCTTGTACAGCTTCTTTCAGTTGCTTTTTATTTTGGCCAGTGTGTGCTTTGATTACAAAATAGTCTAAAAATAGAAAATGATAAAATGTGTCGAATAACAGAGGTAAGGATATTCTCCTTAGTGGATCCTATTAGGTTCCAAACAGCTGGCATCTGACAGCCAAACAGGACAATGAGAAGGCTCAAGGAAATGCCTTGTTAGGCTAAACAAGGAATACAGTAGTGGACAACCATATTGTATTTGGTGGCAAGGGGGTGAGTCTGCAAGTTCTCTCAAGTCTATAGGTCACTTAATTTAAAGAAATGGAATCCATTTCAAAATCAAGAAGGGTCTATCCCAGGAGACGAGGGATGAAAAGAAAAGACGTTTATTTGGACAAGTGGTCATTACAGATTATTCGCTTTTTAAATGACTGCACTCCATGGATGTTACAAATGGCCTGGTCCATTCACCCAACTGAAGTCATTTGACTAAACAGAAATAGAGATTCTTGTACACTTATTGGAGTATTGACAGGTATGGAAGGTAGATGAGGAGAGAAATTGTAACCAGCCTAGATTCCTCTTCTCTGGAGAGTATCTAAAGATGAAAAAGCCTTATTCTCTTGGGCTTTGATTAACCTAGCTCTGAAGATTACTTCACATCTGTGTGCTATAAATTATTCCCTATGCTTCTCTTCATGAAGACTTTCAAGATAGGTTATGATGATTCACCATCTTGGTGACACAGAGGGCATATAAGAATTGGATATTAGTATTACATGAAGGCAAGTCTAATTTAATATACATTTTCATTAACATTTGGATATCACTGTGAAAATTATTCCATGTTATTCCATAAAATTATTCCCTCTGGGAAGAATTGCGTGTGGAGGTGTAGGAGGACATGGTTTTGGCTTCTGTTTTAATTTCAGCCTACTGTGGATTTTTTTCCTTGCAAATATGTAACAGCAATTCACAGTGGGAGGAGACGATGTGGGCTATTTAGTGGTTTTCTATATTTTGTTCCTTATTCGACATGCAGCAGAAGTGCTATATCCCATTACAAAAGGATAATGTGATAATACCTTCCTAGTTTAGCCGGATTTCTATTTCGACATTCAAGCTGCCAAAGGTTAAGTGGCTGTTGTCTCGCTAACCCTTCTGCAGATGAAGAAATATCTACAGGTGAAGCTTTATTCATATAAAGTCACATAAGTTCAGATCCTAGAGGGTTCCTATTCCCTGTCATTTCTAGTGCTTGATGCTTAAATAATCCTGCAACCCTGAAAGGATTGGGAGTTAAAGAGCCTCGTGGTGCAGTGGTTAAACTGCTGTACTGCAGCCAAAACTGTGCTCACGACCTGGGGTTCAATCCCAGGTAGCCCACTCAAGGTTGACTCAGCCTTCTATCCTTCCGAGGTCGGTAAAATGAGTACCCAGCCTGCATAATTGTAAATTGCCCAGAGAGTGCTTGAAGCACTATGGGGTGGTATATAAGCAGCACGCTTTGCTTTTTGCTTTGCTTTTAAACAGTTCCCCATTCCCACCAAGCAGATGATAGCCAAGAGCTATTCTGCCTTCTTGCTGTTAAAGGATAAACAGTGGGCTTTGTGCTGTGTATCATCTTATGAAACATTGAATGATGTTAGGATCTTGTCCCACTTTCTCACAAAGGAGGATGCATTTCTTTTCTGGGTATCAGTCTTTGAGATTAATACAACTTTTGTGATTAAAGGCTTTGATAACTTCAGGCCTTTAGCCTCGGCTTTGACAGCACCTTTTTTTTTAAAGAAAAAAAAACGCTTTTCAAGAATGCGTCAACTATCCCATTACCTGCAAAATGTGTTGCAACTAGCCTAGCTTTGGACCAGTTACAAAGAGCAGATGGAGAGACCTCTAAGAAAGATCATTACCATATCAAAAGGCCTGGCACACTCCCCATTCCTTGAAGGCGCTTCTGAGGCTTCCTTCCTCCTGCTTCTGCGTTAGCCTTGCTTTCTCATAGCACAGCATTCTCCCCCCCCCCTTTGTAAAGTTCCTTGTACTTCTGGAGATCATTCCAAGGTTATGCCTCTTCAGAAAAGAAGAAAAAGACAACAGAGCTTGATTCAAAGATGCTAATAAACCCAATTCCTGAAGCCCAGCTACAGAGACAGAAGTAAATATGGCAATAATTATTCTAGCTCACATTAATGTGCCATCTCTAGTCTAGCTCCCCTGCTCCTGTTTGGCAAGATGATTTGGCAGGCTCAAGACCCTTCATATCATCATAGGATGATTTGGCAGTCCTAGGTCCTTCATAAGGAAGGACATGAAGGTGGGCTCCAGTATCTATGGCAGACCTTGGCAAAGTGCGGCCCGAGGGCCACATACAGGCCACGAGCCGCTCCTGCCCGGCCTGCCGGACATCAAAGCCATTTATAGCTTTTTGTCTAATTTTGATCAGTTGCTTATCTTTAACATACCACAAAAAACCTCTTTAGTATTTGTGAAGATTAACAAGTTTAAAATAAAAACAATCATAACATCACTGTTTATTTTTAAGTAAAGTTGGTTCGGCCCCCAAACACAGTTCAGATTTTTCATGTGGCCCCCTATAGAAATTAATTGCCCACTCCTGATCTTTGGGGTGAAAAAATGCATACCAAGAAAACAAACTACATGAGCATCTTAAATCACAATCGACATTTTAAGTGTAAAATCCATTAAAAGAAATCAGAAATAGTGCAGTTACTTATAGAATCTGGTCTGCATCTAGATAGATATAACAGGATTTCAGTTTGCATCAGCCAGCAAAGCTATTGGCAAAGAAGGAAAGGAGCTGTGGTCCAACATCATCTGGAGGATTATGTCAGGAAAATACAAGGATTGTAATAGGAGAAATTGACATTTTACACTGAATGTGTAAAGGAAGTTGTTAATCAGCCATATTGTACAGCTGTGTATAAAGCTGAGTCATGCTAACTAGGCAGAAGGCTGATGTAATTCTTCTGAGATCATCTGAGATGAGGTAACTTTACCTGTGGAATTATGGGACCAGGTAATGAGATAATGATTGGTCATATGTACTATATATTGTACGCAAGAAAACACGTGTAGAATGGATAGTTTGGAGATTTGTACTATATATTGTACGCAAGAAAACACGTGTTTGGAGATTTACTAGAGGAGATGCTGTTGGAGTACTGTATTTTGTGAAGACTGTGCATATGTAAAGGAAGAAGCTGCTGTCTCATGTTTTTCTCCTCTGCGAGGACCTTGGAGGCTGGTTGTACCCCTGCTTTGCTGAATGTACCCCAATACTTGACAGATTGCAAGTCATGGAGGCTGGTTGTACCCCTGCTTTGCTCAATGTACCCCAATACTTCCTTGACAGATTGCAAGTCACCCACCACTGGTCTACAATTTCAAAATCTGGTCTAACTCTGTGACACTACATATAGATCAGTCATGAAGATTCTGTATTTATAAAAAGGGTGGAAGACAGTTTCTGTTTAGTACTTTCTTATGACTTGAATTAAAAATCCTCAGTACTAGAATGCAGTGGCTAGGCAGCTTCAGATGTTCCTGGAGGAAAGAGATTATCTGGACCCTTTTTGTTCTGGTTTCAGGCTGGAGTTTGGCACTAAAACAGCCTTGCTCCCCCTTTGAAGTAAGGACAAGGGAAGTGCCACCCTGTTGACCCTCCTAGATCTCTCAGTGGCTTTTGATACCTTTCATTATTGTATTCTCTTGGACTGGCTCTGCAGAAGTGGGAACAGGCAGCACTGTGTTGCATTGGTTCTGTTCCCATTTGAGGGACCTGTTCCAGAGAGTGGCACTGAGGGATTTCTGTTCAACTCCATGGCAATTATGATTTTGAGTGTCACAGGAATCCATTCTCACCACCACCACCACCACCACCATTTTGGTCAATATCTGTTTGAAGCTACTGGGACAGGTTATACAGCATTTTGGTGCTGAGTACCATCAGAATTATATCTAGCACTTCCTCTTGTCAAAGGAGATGCCGTGTATGTGGTGAAACACTGTTTGTAGGAGGTAATAGGCTAAATGAGAGCCAGTAAATTGAAGCTGAATCCCATCAAGATGGAAGCTCTGTGACCTGATGGATCTCATGTGCAGGAATTCAGTAGACAACCTGTTCTGGATGAAGTTGCACTCCTGAGGAGAAAGTATGTAGCATTAGGGTACTCATTGAGACTTCTTTATCATTTGTGGCTCAGATGAGCACAGTGAGACTGTCTTTGAGTGGCCTGCCAGCTTCAGCCATTCCAGTGGTTTATGGACTGGTAACCTCCTGACTGGACTACTGTATTGGGCTTTATGTAAAGCTGCCCTTGAAGACAACACAGATATTGCAGCAGGCACAGTATGAAGCAACTAGACTGTTAGCAGAAACACCTTTCAGAGCTCATATGACTCGTTCTGACAACATTGCACTGGCCAGTCCTAGTTCAGTATGTTGATTATAACCTATAAAGCCCTAAATGGCTTGGGACGGCAACACCTCTTCCTGTATATACCTGCTTGCTCACCAAGATCTGCTGGGGGGGCCTCCCCTGTGTCCATCTATGGAGAATGATCCCCTATGCAGAGACATGGAAGAGGGTTTTCTCATCTGGAGCAGCCCCTGTTATGGAATACTCTCCCTTTAGATGTTTGACTGTCCCCAGATAGATGTTTGACTAATTTCGTTTTAGTGTGAAGATAGCAACAGTTATGAGCCATCAATTCTGACTTATGGCAACTCTTTACCGGATTTTCAGAAGAGAGGTTACCAATGGATTACTCATTGAGGTTTCACCGCTTATGGAGCCAGACATTAGGAGTTCAATTCCTGTGCCTCCTGTGAGTAGAGCCTGTGTGGCTTTAGGCAAGCTGTACAGTCCCAGGATTTGGCCCATTCCCAGCTATGATTACTGTCCTAATTCACTTGATCTGCTGTTAGGAGGAAGCTGGCAATCGTGATTTCCATGGCTTATTCCTCTCAAGAACAGTGAAATGGTGCACTAGACATTTTCATACACCCTTATTGTGTATCTGCAAGCACCAAGATAATGTCATCCAGTTATAGTATATCTGACTGCAGAAAGGAAACTTTGCCCTTTTCTTAGCAGAACTCTGAAAATTGTATTCGTTTAGATAGATTGCTTCGTTTAGTGCTCTCTTGCACTCTGCTTTTATAACTTGTGCTTTCCCCTTTATGCAAGCTCTTTAGCTTGTCTTTGGGTGTATTGTGCTTCCTTTCTACAAATGCGTAAACTACTTTTATATGCTCAGTTCTTCACCAGGACATAATTACTGCTAAGAGGCAGTAATGAGCTTGTTACATTATCCCATGAAAGCATACTGCGTTTGATTAGGGTCTGGTTTCTGGAGTGTCCACCTTCAGGTAATTTCCCCTGAACCAATTCTATTCTTGCCAGTATGATAGAGACTCCCATTTAAAGATTAGTGTTGAATCTGGTTAGTATATAGTGGGCTGAAGTTTATATAGAAATATAAGTCATAGTTTAAGTCCCATTGAAAGCAATAGGCCTAAAGGATTTTGTCGCCCATGAATCAATTTGGTATTGTCTTTTTGCCTTTGTTCTGTTCTGTTGCTTATTGCTGCAAATGCTATCACTGTACAGTATTAATTTGTTAATGCTTCTATACATCCTGTTTTTATATCAGTGCTTTGGGAGTAAACATTTTAATAGCGCCCTATTCTTTCTCTACCTCTTCTGTTTCCTCCTTTTGGTATTTCACTTGTGAGATAGGCTTTCTTGTTTTTTATATGTAACTTTTTGTATCTCTCATCCGTGTTGCATTTTATAATCTGCTGTTTAATTATAGATGGTGCTAGAAGGAAAACATCCATAGTGCATTCTGAGATCATACAGTCTTCGCCACTCATCTTTGATCTGCTCTTTCAAAAATTAATGGGGGTCTTTCTGCAGAAATCATTTGTGAAAACTAGCAGAAATAAAAGGCGTGTGTTAACCTGAGGTTTCCTTTTTTCTTGCAGATGTGAGATACCTTTCGCCCATGATCTGTGCCATCTTCATTGTGATGATTCCTCTGTGGATTGCGATCGCCAGACAGAGTCCTCCCATTGCTGAAGTCTTGAAATCTGGTTGGCAGCCAGTAATTGTTGCAATGGCCACTAGCAGGTAAACATCGACAAACAGGAAAGGAATTTAGCAGGTAGCCTGATTTTAGCAATCTTGAGGCTGTTCTAGGAGGAGCAAATCTACTGCCTTGTTGCTTGAGGCCAAAGAACACAAGATTTACCAGAATTTGCATCCCAACTGTTGTTTTCCTGCTGGGAAGGGACTTTGGACAATATTTTTGTCTCAAATCCCCCCCCCCGCCCCCGTGGTATTCTGCCCTTGTCTTGTTCCATCCTCTGTGTTTATTCTGGCTTCTTGCAGAAGTGGGGAAGTGTTGGACATGTTGTGCCTACTGTACAGATAGGGAGACCGCATAGTAGTCTCTGCTTCACAGAAAGTGTTGCAGTGTGGGGTTCTGGCTGATGCGCTGTGCTCTAAACGCCTCCCCTTGGTACAAAACAGTAAAAAAAAACCAAGGACATTGAGAGGATCAAAAAGAGCTGGGCATCTAAGAAAAAGAAGCATTACAAAGCAAATTATGAGGCATATCATCTACAGTAGATACCAGGGGAAATACTTGTGCTGTGTTCATTGCTTAATGGGGAACTTAGAGGGGTACAAGTGGTGTGTCTGCAGGAGCCATCTATTCAAGTTTTGTCCCTGGTACTAGTCATTGCAAAATCCCTTTAATCTGCTTTTGCAGATTTCACTCTCTGATTGATTTCCAGCCTTTTACTAAGAACTGACCATGGGGATCTGAAACAGTTCAGTGAGGACTGAGCATGCTCAGTGAAAACAGAGACAGAAATTTGGAGGGAGGAAGAATAGAATGGAATACCTTAGAAGAGATCATGGCTGGAACCTTGAACAATGCTACTTCACACTTGAACATATTGAATGTCCCAGGTGTATCCTATAAATGTGTACACAGGTGGTTTGGTGTCTGGTTAACACACCTGTACATTGAGGGTACATGAAGAATGGGGATGACTTGCATGTGTGATGAATAGTCATAAAATGTACCAACGCTGATATTTAGGCCTCTTTGATGGAGTCATGTGTGATGAATAGTCATAAAATGTACCAACACATTTATGCCTCTTTGGCGGAGTCGGTTCACACATTCAGCTATGAATTATCAAGTCCTAAAGAGACATAAGAATAATTGATTGCAGGGGGAGTTCCTAGTAAGGATTTATACATCAAAAGTATGACTGTGCAAACAAACCAGTCCTATGCCCTTCACTGTCTTGATTATATGATCTGTAGATTTCAAAGAAAAGTGTCTGTTCAAGCAGGCAGTGATGATTTTTATGGTGTGATGTTTTTTCCCAGCATATGCTAGAAGTGTGGGGTCACTTCAGTGGTTCAGCTCCATGAAACAGTTTCAAAACATCAAGCATTTTCCTCAGCACTCATTGCTCTTCAGTGACTAGAAGCAATAAAGCTGCCATCTGTGTCATTTCAACGGTGTCATAAATGTACTAGAATGGTTAGAGGCAAAGGGGAACAGGCCTACAGTCATCCTAACAGCCGTGTAGGGAAAGAATCCAGGAAGTGCCACTTTCCCCATGTCTTGCATTATCAGCTGCACCTGCTTAAAAGAAATCATCTTGTGTGTGTGTGTGTAGAGGAAATCCAGCACTGTTCTGGTATTCTGGTAAGGTAGACTGTGCAGCGTTTTCAGTCTCTAAGGAAACAGTGCCAGCCCATGAAACAATCAGATAAATTAGACCCTGGACTTGGGTGGGGTTAGGAGTAAACCATGGAGTATAGTACAGCAGAACGAACAACCATTTGACTGCTCTAAAAAGCCAAGCATTGTCCAGTGACAGTGATGAGATCATTATCCTGGTCTGAGACAAATCTGATTTACTTTTGTAATTTTGTTTATTTATTAGATCAATAATCTGTTAAGACAAACAGCCCGCCAGCCCCATTAAAGCATGAACTACTCTGGGCAGTTTACAAACGAAACTGTAAAAATCCTTGAGGCTCCACATAGCAATACATATAACAATATGGCAATTTGGGGGTTAAATCATAGAAAAAAGAAAAGAGAAACAGGAAAATAAAAATAAAATATGAATATGAATTGCATCTGGAAGACTCATTTGTTAAAGGCAGCATTGAATAGTTCTCTTTACAATGATTTACTGAACATGAGGGGAGGCGCCTCCTGTATCTCCAGTGGAAACCTGTTCCAGAGAATGTGAGCCACTACTGAAAAAGCCTGATTCCTTGTCTTTGCCTTTCCGGCCTCCTTCAGTGTTACCACATTTAGCAACATGGAGTGAAACAGGTATAGTAGCTGATTTCTAGGAGAGCTATCCCAACAAGTATCGAGGTCCTAAACTGTTAAGGCTTTATAGGTCATAACCAGTATCTTGAATTGAGCACGGAAACTGACAGAGAACCAGTGAAGGTATGCCAAGACTGGGGATCTATGGTCGAATTTACTAATCCAAGAACTCAGTCTGGCCACTACATTTTGTACCTGCTGAAGTTTCTGTTCTGTTTTCAAGGGCAGCCCTAAGTATATAGCATTACAGTAGTCTATTTCTGAGATCTGAAAATATTATCATCATTAAATGATATGTGGCCATATGGTTGGAAATAGCTAGTAGCTAGAATATCATGGGGGTTTTACAGTCCATAATCAGTGGTGCATTAGTGATTAAAGGAACAGCTGCCTAAGACAATCACAAGCTGGGATTTGTACAGCATACATCCATATAATCAGAATTATATCAGGAGGCAAGAAGAAGAAAAATGTAGTCATGCTCAGAAGGCAAAATCTGGCCAAAGTGACACAGCAGAAACTGTCAGAGAATCTTGTTAGACCTCTAAGCAGCAGAAATTGCAGATACCTGTCAAGTCAGGCAGCATTCTTTGTGATCATGGTCTTCATGTTAATTCTATGCTGATGGGATTTATTTATTATTTTCCTCCAACTCTTTATTCTCTGGCAACAAGGTGATAATAGTTCTTCTCTTGAACCTCTGCCCCCTTACCATCAGCAGCTTTAAAACGTGGCAGAAGAGTTCAGGAAAAGAAGTTAACTTCATCAAAGACAGGCTCAAAATGGAATAACTAGTCTTTAAATCCTGCAGAGTAGGGATTATAAAATGAAAATTATACTCATATTTTTGTTTGTTTAAACAGCCTAGGAGGACTCATCTTGGACAAAACCATAACAAACCCAAACTTTGAAGGCATGGCTGTTTTCACTCCTGTGATCAATGGTAGGATGATAATTAAAAAAAAAAGTTTAATGTTAATGGTAGAGGGTTGGTGATTGCAAATGAAACATTATCTTTTTCATTGGTGTAAGGCTAGATATTTCAGTTTTTAGATCCATTAGCAAAAATAAACATTAAGTCTCAAAACTATCTGGAGAAGTGGAAGAACTCAGTCCTCAGAATCCCTTCTAGTTTAATGATTGTATTTGTGTGCCTTTTTGGAACTGCTGCCGTTCAGTGATACAGCACATGCTTTGCATATGACGAACCCAAGTTTTAATACATCTCATCTCCAAGTCGTGGAGGGCCACTGTTGATAGTGAATCCAGTTTATGGACCATTGGTCTGATTCAGAACAGTGCATTATTTCAGTGTTTTAAATATTGTTTTTCTAGTGGAAAATTAAATCCTTCTGAATCTGTTTATATTTTGGAACACTATCAGAAATTGTTGCAAATGCGTCAATATGTCACAAGCATATGGAGTTTGTAGCATTTGAACAGTGCTGCCCTGTATCCTGTGATCTGAAGAGTATACAGAATCATTTGGTGTGAACAACGCTAAACGTTGTTGAACTCCTCTGGGTATATAAAACAGGACTAATGAAAGAACATCTATAATTTTAAAAAGCAGTATGTGTCACTGTTTGTGGCTGTCTGTGTCAAAAGTAGCAGTATGAGCCTTCCTTACAATCATTCTGAATAAGACTGAATTTTTATTTAGCCAACATTGGGTCCCTTACTGGGAGAAAGGTGGCATACAAATGATACAACCAAAGAAACAAAACAAATTATTTTTATAAGAATGAATCTGTCATATAAACTTGCCCAACTTGGATAGAGCTAATTCTCTCTTTGAATCAGTGCCCAGTATCTCAAAAAAAAATGTAATTGTGCACTTTTGTGCTTTATCTTTAAAAAATAAAAGTCTTTAGGTTTTTCTCTTTTCTGAAAGGCGTAATTGAACGCTGGATCTACAATGAAGTGCCAAATACTTTCTGGAGGAGAAATCTACCATAGGCAAAGATTGTATGATAGCCATTCAGTAGCAGAGATGGAAGAAGACATAGTACTCGAGCTAAAAAACAGATGTTCAATGGGACCTTCCTCATACTGTCATATTTCTCATGTTGCCAAAGTTGGGTATGTGTGTGAATAAGGGTTGTATGAGTAGGGTGTGTGTGTGTAAGAGAGAGAGAGGATGCTCTTTGCTATGTGTTTGGGAAATTAGTATAAGTCTTGCAGGTCAGAATATAACTTTCTTTGGATTAGTCGAGGGAAGGACCTGTTGTGGGGCTGTTCAGATTATGCAGAATCCTACTGCTGGATACTTTATGTGATGTGTCATTATTGGCACCAAATTTCCCTGTTCTGCACTTTTCCTTTGTAGGTGTTGGTGGCAATTTGGTAGCTATCCAAGCCAGTCGCATTTCCACATTTCTGCACTTCTGGAGCATGCCTGGAGTCCTGCCGCACAAGATGAGGCAGCACTGGCCTAATCCGTGTAACACTTTCTTCTCCTCAGGTAGGGAAACCATTTTTAGATGCTGGCCCCCAGTTACTCCCATGTATAAATGAACACACTCACCCACAAGAGAACACTGTCTCTGGCACCTCGGTCTCTGTGGTTAATCTGAATATGATGTGGCACTGAGAAACTCTTCCAGACTAGGCGGCAATCAGTTGCATCAGCGGCCACACTGAGAAGGCTGTTTTGTGAAATGCCTTGAAGTGGCTGTTCTGTGGCTCCACTGCAAAGCTCTGGCCCTTAGAAGTCACTTTGCTGACCTGCCAGGCCCAAACTAAGGTACAGGCAGCAGTAAAACATTCCCTCCATAGGCATGACTTCATTTCACGCTAGCATGTGGGGTAAGGTCCATTATACTACAATCTCTCAGTTCGTCAAACATTCATGAGCTCCTATATTTATTAATGGAAATTAACTGCCAGAACAAGTTATCATATCACAATCTACCTTAATAGACACCAGTCTTGAATAGACTTAGCCCTTTAATCCTGACCACCAGCATCCCTTCTCTCATTACTGTCTCCCTTCATCCCATCTTTTGTTACTTCTCCACTGGCACCCCCATTGTCATAAAGGGGCCATTTTGTATGTAGTGATGGATCACAGGGGAGGGGGCTTTGGAACGTTTCGAAAATTAGTTCTCAGTTACTAGAGCGCATCATTGTTATGAACAAAAGCCTTGAAGAGAACTCATGTCTTATTTTCACTTGGCATAACTATAACTGTCATGTAATTTTTGCTTTTCTTCTTTTGCAGGGGTAAATTCAAAGTCAGCTCGTGTTCTTATCCTGCTAGTGATCCCAGGACATTTGGTGTTCCTTTATACCATTCACCTGCTTCAAGCAGGCCACACCGCACTCACCTTCACCTTTGTGGCATTTTATCTGATGGCTGCTGTCCTGCAGGTAACTAGAAATGGACTTCTGGGGTATGAATGAACTCTTTAATGTGTTCAAAAGCGGATCAGCCACTGTATCTGTGCTTTTGCCAGTAACACGCCCACATTTCTTCACACATTTTGATCCTGGTCCCTTTGAAATTTCCAAATTGGCAGTTATCCACTTGAAATTATAGCTCTTTTTGGATGTATTTATGGGGGAAAGTGATGTGGGGATACCACTGCAGAAAACTACAGAATGTCACTTTCACTTTTCTATCTGGAACACACCATCTGTTTCATTCACTTTACATCCCTTTTATGACCTTTCTCCTATTAGTATTTTGAAAAGAGACAGTTCAGTGCCTTGTTTCTGTCATGGCATTTCTAGGGATGAGCTGAAAAGGTGTCTCCTTCCCCCCCAACAGAGTGCTTGGCTGAAAATGAGAGAAACCTGATGTTGGCAGTGGGCTGTGATGATTGCCCATGACTCAGTATCTACCAGCAGTTGCTCTCCCTACCCTGTCAAACAGAGCAGTAAACAAAAGGAAGTTTGGCTCCAGGAAGGAGCTACATGATGAAGTAGTGTTGTCCTGAACTCAGGCCAAGGGAAGGCATTGCTTTCAGTCCCCAGCCCACCTGCTACTTTATTTTCTCCAAGGAGGTTAAGGGTGGTGGCTTGTATCTGTCAAGAACTCTGTGTGTGTGTGTGTGCATGTGTGCGTGTGTGCACGCGCATGCGTGTGTTCCTGCTGTCACGAAGGAAGGAGCTACATGATGAAGTAGTGTTGTCCTGAACTCAGGCCAAGGGAAGGCATTGCTTTCAGTCCCCAGCCCACCTGCTACTTTATTTTCTCCAAGGAGGTTAAGGGTGGTGGCTTGTATCTGTCAAGAACTCTGTGTGTGTGTGTGTGCATGTGTGCGTGCGTGCACGCGCATGCGTGCGTTCCTGCTGTCACGATCCCACGCGGCCCCTGCTTGTTTCACCAAACTACTGTAAGAGCTCACACTATGCGTCTTTCAGCTGCCAACAGTTGATTACATCAATATTACTATTATTAATAATTGATGTCCAGGCCATATGTCATTTTAAAAGAACCAAATAGAAGTTGTTTATTGTTACAGATGATGAAAGTTCATTCAGTGTTGTTAACTCTTAAACATCCTCCTTCATTTCACTCTCAACCACCACTATCCTGCCCAAATTCCAAAACCACACCAAACTCCTAAACCTCTTCAACTAATCTCAAAAACACTCTCTAAACTCCTCCTCCTGCTGCTGCTGAGTCTATCTCATGACTCCACCCCTCCAACACTCCCATTGGTCTATACAGATAGCATATGAATATTCATGACCTGGGCAGATGCCACAGCTGCATTTGCCCCTTTACGGCTTACACCAGGATTGGGGAACCAGGACTAGGAAATTTGGCCATCTAGATGATGGACTACAGTTCCCATCAACCCCAGATGAATGGCCATAGGAGTCAAAGTTCTTCAACATCTGGAAGGCCAGATTTTCCCCACTATTTCCCAACACACATACACCATCTGGGAATTAGATGGGAAGGTGGCCATAGCTTCGTCCAAGAGATATCTGTGGCCTCTGACATGGGTAACAGGGCGTGTCTGTGCTCTGTTGCTGTTGGCCATTCCAGCGCTATAACTGTGTTGGGTCACACCACAGTAGAAGATGTCATGTCTGCTTTGCATTTCTGTTTACAGGTGGGAATTCTGCTCTACATGGCTGACATCCTTGTGCGGCTCATGTGGAGAAAGGGTCTTGATCCTGACAATTTCTCCATCCCCTACCTCACTGCTCTGGGAGACCTCCTAGGCACTGGGTTCCTGGCACTTTGCTTCCGCTTCGTTTGGCTGCTCATTGGATTGTAGCTGAACATGGGAAACTAATGGAGACTTCTGCTACAATGTTGACCTGCAGACTGATCTGATGAGCAAAAACTCTCACGATGGTGCTTTTGACATGGTCCAACAGGGTACTGAAAAAGGAGATCCAGGTCCTTAAACTGGAATGAATTGTATACCCCTCCCTTTTGATCTCAGTTCTGCCTAGCTGTGGAGTTTGAAACAATATCTGTCACTTAAGGAGCATTAACATGGATTGCAGCTGTTGAGATACTAACAGTGAAACACTCTGCTCTGATTTGCCTTTCAGTTGGTTGAGAAGTGTTTTCCAATGGCCTGCTTTGAAAAGTCCGTTGATACCAATGGGAGGCTGTTCACTGATCTCAGTGGGGTGTAGATTATGTCCTAGATAAGGATGTTGCACTGTCTTTGCCAGGCATTAACTAGCAATCCAAGAAGGCATTTTATTGTCTGCCTATCTCTGATATGAAAGAAGGGAGACAGTGAGAGAGAAGTATGCCCAAGGTTGTTAACACTCTGCACCAAAAACTCTATGAGCTACAGCAGGGAAACTTAAACTGAGCAGTGCAATAGCTCAACATTTGTTTTACAATACCTCATGCATAGTTGTATAACTATGGTATCTGGCATTTATGCACTATGCATTAGATTTCTCAGTGTGTTCTTATGCTGAATTTGAGAAGAGCTTGTTTGTGGCTGGTTTTCCTGGCAGAATTTTGAAATGGTTGAGATTGCAATGACAACAGCAGTTATAAGCTGGAAAAGGAAGAAATCAAGAAAAGAACACAGAACAGCCAAAGCTGATGCTTTTGGCTGTTCCTCGGCTTCAATTATTTGTACAGCTCTATCAAATCTTGGAGAAGCAGAGCATCTTCTCATGAAGAAGGAAGAAAGCTTTACTTTATCCTATCCTTTGACATTTCCATCTTGTTCAAAATAAGAAGCTTGCTATCATACCTCCATGTGCCAGAGAAGTGTGGTCTCTCTTTCTCAGCACCAGACACTTGTGAGGAGGTGAAATGCAAATATTCTGTTTTGAGAAGACAGATGCAAATGAAGATGAAGGTGCCACCTAGTAAGAAGAGGAGCTTCGTGTCATCCTGTTCCCTCCCATGCCAACCTTCTTTTCTAAAGCCACTTGCAAAAAATGCTCATGATTGTGCATGAAATCTTAAGAATAATTATGAGCCCTGATTTATAGGCTTCATAAATCTTTCTTTTAAAAAGAGACAGTCATTATCATACATCATATTCTAAAAGACTCACCAAAGGACAGGCATAGTGCCTCACTATACTAGATGGAGTTCAGTGTTCTCAGAAAAAGGTACACCCTGTCCCCAGATCTTCAACACTTCTGTGCCAGGATAAAACAAACCAACTGTGCAAACAGCGGTCTTAATTTGTCCACTCTTCCAAAGGTAAGAATATCTGTTGAATTTCTTCCTCACGTAGAGAGGAAAGCTGAATGAGCTTTTTCTTCAAGGAGACCCTTGCAGGTGAAAACAAGAAAGACAGAAGGATTGCAGTTCACTATGCCCCAGCATCAGTGTCTAGTTTGATTAAATTTTCATTCACTCTCATGTTTTTTTGTTTCAGATCTTGCAACTTTTTATGGTTTATAGAAATATACACACAATAAAATGTGAAAATAGTAGTGTGTTGGCAATTTTCTTTCATAGGCTTGCCCAGGTTTTAGGACATTATTGCCAGTACCTGGCAAACAACAAGCTGTGCTATCTCTGCTGCTTTTGTTCTTCTTTTAATAGTGTGGGATCAAGAATTGTGAGAAAGAGGCACATCACAGTTCTGCCTATTCCAAATAAGCATATAGCTTTGGTTTCCATATTCTTAACCCTAATATCAAAGAAAGAACATGGCTGCTGAAGTGGAATGGGTAACAAAGATTATAACACAGAAGTAAAACCTGAAATACTTATTGAAATATGTCATGGGTCCTACCCAGTGACAAAAGATGGAACTTATTGCAAGCTTATAGTTTACGTACTGAACTGAAAATTTCTATGTCTGCAGGCAAGAAGATTTATCAGTGCAGCTGAGTAAGAAAGTTAAGATAATGTGGAGGAACTAATCAGAGATTTAATCTATGGGGATAATAAAAAGCCCATCACTTTGAGTGTCATGCCCACTCCCACAGCCCAAAATCCCAAGAATTGTTGTTCATGAAGAAATTTCAATGAACTGCAGTTCTTCAACTAAAGCATCCTGTGAACCCATTATAATTTTGCTATCTCTTGATGTCTTCTCTCCCAAATCATCCCCATAAATAATCTCCATAACAAAAATATTTTGAACGTAAGTGTTGTAGTGGGGCTGTTTTGATCAAACATTTCCATAAGCTTGACCATGAAATGAGAATTATTTGGTTCTAGCAGTTTTTAAACTGGAAGGTCAAGTGCACTGAAACAGCTGTGGTATAGCCAGGAAGAAGAAGAATTATTTACGTTAAAGTTCCTTACTTTAAAGTTGGGTAGTGGCAACTCCTAGTAATTTTTAAAAGGTATCATGGCAAGTTACATAATCTAGCTATAAACAAATCTGGGTTATTCCCTTTTAAAAGAACTTTTAAGAAGAAAAATGTGTTCCTACTGCTATCCTTGAGAAACATCGCAATTGTTTGTAGAACAAGCTATAAAGCATATGTACTAACTTATAGGACTAGTGCCGATTTAAATGTCCTCCAAATGCTTATTTGATCAGTGTGTCCCATCAACAGCATTTAAGGACTTCTGTTTTGGCAGTGTTATACCTTGCCACTATTGTTGCTCTACTAGAGTTTGCTTTTCATTATATTCATCCTACTTTATCACTACTATTCCCCACCCCCAAAGTCAGATAGTCCCTTCCCCTGGAATCATGACAAGAATTTGTCCCCTTCTGAGTGGCAAAACAACAATGAGACTTTTGTCTTCACTAAGACCCATTGTGTGGTTTGTGTTCTACCTTGGGTGTGGTCCAGGAAGAACATCTGTCTAGGATTCAGCTGTGTTTTTTGGCAATTCCTGTTCAGTCAAATGAGGCCTGAATGGGGAATGCTTGCCTTGGGCCATAGCTTTCAGCTGGTGGTTCCTGTTGGGGGAAAAGAATAATAATGTGGTGGCGCTGTGGGCTAAACCGCAGAAGCTTGTGCTGCAGGGTCAGAAGACCAAGCAGTCGTAAGATCGAATCCACGCGACGGAGTGAGCGCCCGTTGCTTGTCCCAGCTCCCACCAACCTAGCGGTTCGAAAGCATGCAAATGCGAGTAGATAAATAGGTACCATCTCGGTGGGAAGGTAAACAGCGTTCCGTGTCTAAATCACACTGGCCATGTGACCACGGAAAGATTGTCTTCGGACAAACGCTGGCTCTATGGCTTGAAGAGCGGGATGAGCGCCGCCCCCTAGAGTCGGACACAACTGGACAAAAATTGTCAAGGGGAACCTTTACCTTTACCTTTTAGACTGATTCTGACTTATGGTGACCTTCCCAGGGTTTTCTTAGCTATGATGCATTAAGATCTGGTTTAGCAGTCCCTCCTTCAGGTGACACTGTGTCAACTACTGACATATTGGGGGGGGAGGGCTTCGTTTGTGATTTGTAAAAATAATAATAAAAATAGCAGGTGGTTTAGTTATAAGAAAAGCTGCTTCTGAATCAGAATGAGAAATTGTCTTAGCCTTGGGAGCCATTTTCTGAAATGCATCTGAACTTTCTATTATACTGTTATGCTGCAAAACATCATTACTCTAGTACTTTAAGGGCAAAAAATTAAAAGCATGCAGTTCCTTTCCCTCTCCTACCTTTTGACTTCAAGAAATATGATGTAACAGAAGGAAATTGTTTCAATAAAACAGGATTTTTAAGGCATATTAAAATATGTTTTTGCAGTGAACCAGTATACTTTTATCAGAGTATATTGCCAGGGGGCTTATGTTGTTTGAGTCTTATGCTGTTCCAAGAATTTTGACAAATTCAGATTCTGCCATGTTTTCTAATAAAGACATGGGAATTATTCCACAACCCTTCCCTGTCCACCCCTCCCAAACCCAGATAGAACCCAGAGGTGCCCATTTGGGCACTTCCTGGCTTATTTTGTTTCTCCCCTTAATGGCCATTTCTGGGCCCAGGGCAAGCTGTAGTAAAATCTGGGGAGAAAGAAGCTGGCTGTCTGCCTGTGGAGATCACAAGAGTTGAAATTTTGAAACCATCTGTAAAAGCATATATTAACAAGACATGTAAATAAAAATATGTTTTAAATGATTTTAAAGGTATTTTCATAATTGAAAGATGACAACATTAACAACATCTTGCGTTACCCTGTGAGCAAAGTGAATGATGCTATCCTATCTGGGTTTGGGGGGAAATTCAAAGAAACACCACTTTAATATTCATGTAGCTGCCAAGAATGGATGGCAAATTGATTGGAATTCAGAACGTTGAGTGCCATCATAGCATTTACTGAAGAGGATCCCCACTGAATAAATCATAAGAACATTTCTGAACCAGTTAAGTCATAGGTCACAGTTCTTTGCTAACCTGGGTTTTTAATTTTCCTGCGTTTCACAGAGATTGAGGCCGCCCACGCTTAAGGGTCAGTCAGGTGGAGGATAACCACATTTGTTTGTTCAAACACACACACCCATCTCACATATAAAGGAATCTGAGCCTAAAGGGCCCAATATCAGAATGTGGCACTGTCAGGCTTCTGCCAACATCCAAGAATGGCCTAGTACTATGGACACATGGCCAGAGGCTCTCAGATCACCACTGCGAAGGGAGCTCCCATTGCAGTTTCCCAAAATGCTCGTGAGGCAGCCTTGTTCTGGGGCAGTGTGGCACTTTCAAAAGGTAGTTTGCTCCTAATTGTGTCCACAACATTCCTCCTGACACCAGAGTAGCCTGCTGGGAGCCCAACAAGAAGGTGGACCATTGGCTTGCAGAGCCTGTAAAGGTGGCTGCGCTCTGATGCACATTTGGTTGAAAGCAGGAGGCAATGGAGGTCAGGGATCTGTGGGAAGCCGAGCTGGTGACAGTAGCTGGTCTAACTCAGGAGGCCGAATGTCTTGGGCTAGCACTGGCTATCATGCCTCATTCAAGTGGAAGCAAATCACACACACACAGTGCTGTTGTTCAGGTATTCAGACACAGTTTTCCAGAAGGAATAATTTGATTGACATGCAAAATGCCAACAAATAAACACTGTCAGATTTTTAAAACCTTCTTTCGAAATCCCCCAGGTGCCCAACACAGTGTTTTTCTCTTTCAGGAGGCTGTCTTATCCCTTTACCTGGTAAATAAGCAAAACTGTGTTACCAGCACCACTCTCTGAAAGGAGATCTTGGCATCTGTGCATTCGTACTCATACATGGCCCCTTCTGCAGTCCGGTTTGGCACCAAATCCAATGTTCTTTAAGCAAACAAGGACGGCTGGTGTCCTCCTGTTTACGAAAAGTCCAGGCAAAATGAAAAATGCATTTGACAGGCAAATGGAAGCAATGAGGTCGGTGACTAAAATGAAGGCTCTGTTCTGTTTGACACTGAAAATCACTGTGATAGAATTTGCACACTTAACACTGAAGGATAGGGCTACTCCCGCTTACACTAGAAGCTGACTTTTAATTGCCAACTGAAGAAGAAAAGGTACCTGAAGATTCTCTTATCCATACCTTATGCGGACCTGCTGGACGTCCCCCTGCTCAGCTTTTACATCTAAGCATGTTTCTAAGCTGTGCCTTGCAGCAGGACAGAAAAGGAGGCCAACCACAGAGCCAGGCAGAAAAGGAGCTCTGGAAGTGTCTTTCCAGCCAGACGCTTAGAGGGCAGCCTTCATTCCTGCTGGGAATGATGCAATCAAGGGATCTGTAGAAAGATCACTGCTTAATAAATTACAGATTTTGGATTCTGTATGCATCTAAAGGAGCCTGCTCTTTTATCCCTTGAGATCTGATGGGGAGCACTGAACTTTGTAGAGGTGCTGGGATGCATAAGTCAATGATAGGGGGGTGTAATGTTTTTCAGCTGTTGCAGGACTCCTATTCCCATCTATCCCCAACCATCATGGACAATGATAGGAGGAACTTTGTAAGGAAGTGAGAGCACCTTGGGCAGAATGTTGATGTAAGGTGCCCCGCCTCCCATGCAAGGGCCCTGACCCTCCCAACCGCTCTGCGGTTCAGAAAAGGTTGGGGAACACTGTTATAGCCCAAGCACAAGAGAGCCACAGGTTCCCCACCCTGGATTTAAGGGCTCTGCCACCCCCTCGGCTCAGCCACCATCCGCCAGGCTGCCTGGTGGAGCTCTCAGGGTTCTAGTTCTGAATAGTGGCTTTCCTTCTGCGTCTCGGATACATCATCTTTCAAAAGGGCTGGGCTGGTGCTGGAGGCTTTACTGCCTCTTTCAGCAGCCGAGGTCAGTTTTTAGCAGATATTTGTGGGAGAAACCAAGATTTATTACCAAGCCCAAACCTTCGGGTGTTATGCTGAAACAAAATTATTGAAGTTCCACTCAGAGAACCTTCTGGAGAGCGAGCCCTCAATTTCCCCCCAACCCACTATGAGAGCTGGCTGAAGAGAAAGAAGCGTGGTCATTTGGTGGCAGTTTATTGATTAATACAGTCCAAGAAAGACAGCAGATTAAATCCATTTGACGCAATACACTCTAATCTAATTGACAAAGATTGAAACCACATGAGATTCTTCAGACGGTTCAGCAGAAGAGGGATGATAAATGGCTTCAGTGGTGCTGCTCCAGAAGAGAATTAACGCCTGGGAGTCGGAGCATGAATGAAGAAAGCTGCCCCATCTGCAGGGAAGCAACAGGAAGGCCTCCCTGCTCAGGAGAGCAAACTGACAAAAAAAGGGGGCCCTCTGTAACTCCAAAGGTCTGCTTGAGGCTTTACTTTACAGCTGGTAAAGACACAGACTTACTTGCTGTTGGGGGGGGTGCAAGACAGGAGAGCCAGTTGGACTCCCCCTGCCCTACTGAATACAAGATGAAGCAGGTTCTTTATCTATAGTACTAACAGATTTACAGGCCTTTCTCGTTGGAAGCACAGCTGTAGGCCAGCCATCTGTTGGTGCCTATCACTACACTTCCACACACGCTTATTGTACAGCTGCCTCTGTGTGTGTGTGTGCGCACGCTCCTGCCTGTGTGAAGTATGCCAATTACTGGCATGAGAAAGAGGCTGAAGTCCTGTTGCTTAGTTTTAACAAGATGCATTAGAGGAGGCTCATGGAATCAGTGGGGATAGATTCCATTGATTCAAGTGGGCCTACTCTAGTGTTAGAATAGACTTGGTGCACTAAACAACAGTCTGCCAGAAAGCCATGCAAGTCGTTGCAAGTAGCTGTGACCTGCCACCAAGTCACTTCCATTTATGGAGGTCTCCCCCCCTCCCCAAAAATGAACCAGTGGCCTCCAGAACATCCTGTCACTAAGAGCCCTGCTTAAGTCTTGCAAAATCAAGCCCATGACTTCCTTTATGGAGTCAATCCATTTGATGTTGGGTCTTCCTCCTCCTCTTCTTTGTGGCAGATCTGAATGAAAGTCATAGGCCCCTTCGGTGGAAATTATACCTACCAAATTTCAGACAAGTAAGAGTAAGGAGAGATGTTCTACGCTCCTGTAAATTTCAGTTATATATAAATAAAAAGTAGAACTGCACAAATATTTGTTGGCTTGTTAGCAGAAATAGACAAAATGTGCAGGGATTATTTCTCCCTACCCTTCAAAGGAAATTTTAAGCATGTGAATGTTCAGAAGATGTGCAGGGGATTTTATAATATAATCTTAAAATTGCAGAGAACACACACACAAGTCTCCTTAATTCTCCTCTGCTTGAGAACATAATTTAGATCATGAAAATGAGGGCAGAAAAAAATAGAATACTAAGGAGCTTTGATTAAAAACATAATTGTGTTGTGAATACCAAGCATTTAAAAGCAAACAGAACGTCTAGCAGATCTGAATTTATCTTCCAGTCTAGTGGACAGCAGATCAGATAAATAGATTAAGTCGGGGTGGGCAATTGCGTGGACCTGGAGACCATTTCTCCCTACACACACACAAAAAAAGAATTTTTTTTTAAAAAAATCAGTTTTGAGTGTTAATTGGTGTGTGTGTGGTTTACTTAAAAAGTCCTTGCATCCGGAGGCTTTCAAAAGTTCTAGCACATTACTTTTGCTGGGCAAAGTGTGTGTTTTGGCAAGGCCATCTTTGTTGTTGTTGTTTTTTTTGTTGTTTTTTTTTTTGGCAAGGCCATCAGTGATCCTGGAACCCAACACCACCCTGGGTTGTCGTTGGCCCACCCAACCCTAGTCTCTGTGGTCAGGAAATGACACAATTATTTGCACTCAGAGGCTGCCAAACTCTCTCATAGAGGTGCCGGGGGAGGGGGGACATGGCATTGTCCTCATGGAATCTCCCCTACCTTTTTTGAGCCTTCTGTCCAGCTCTGAAAGTGAGACAGAGGAGGACAAGGGACCCCTGGGGAGAAGGGACGGCAGGGAAGACCTATTGCGAAGCCCTCTAGTCCCACACAGAGAGTGGCTTTGTGAGGTCTTCTGCAGTAGCTGCAGTCAATATTCCTGGGCAAATGTGACCAAAAGTCCATTAGCTTGCGTTTCTTTAAGAAATACCATTCTAAGGCCTTTCCCTCAAATTACCATCACATTCTTACTTCCTAAGCAGAATCTGCTGGAAGTCTTTATAGTCTGGCTTGCTGCCAGTGATTTGAGAGACTGGGAGGGCTGGGGTGACTGTCAGTCTAACCAGCACTAAGAAATCATTCCCTCTCTCACCTCTGAATCCAGCTCTCTGCTAAGTTCCACTCTTTTTCCTCTCTTTATTGAAAGGCAGAGTTTGTTTGTTTGCTGTTCATATTCACAACTGTAATGAACTTTAAAAAAATCTTTTTACAAAGTGTTGTCCAGTTTTACCTTGGGGAAGAGCACCTCATTTCGTTGCACCCACTTGTGAGTGCAATGACAAATAAATTTCTTATGTCTTATGTCAAATGTGACCAAAAGGCCATTAGCTTGCGTTTCTTTAAGAAATAACATTCTAAGGTCTTTCCTTCAAACTACCATCACACTCTACTTCCTAAGCAGAAACTGTTGGGAGTCTTTATAGTCTGGCTTGCTGCCAGTGATTTGAGAGACTGGGAGGGCTGGGGTGACTGTCAGTCTAACCAGCACTAAGAAATAATTTCCTCTCTCACCTCTGAATTCAGCTCTCTGCTAAGTTCCACTCCTTTTCCTCTCTTTATTGAAAGGCAGCATTTGTTTGTTTGCTGTTCATATTCACAACTGTAATGAACTTTAAAAAAATCTTTTTACAAATATCTCAGAGGGCATTATTGAGACTATAAAGGGGCAGTTAATGAGAAAGGGGTAGACTATCTGGGAAACTTGAAGCTATTATTTTTGGATTTGTGTACTACTGCTGTGTGTCACAGGGAAAGTTTTTACCAGAAATTCAAAACTCTACGACAGAAAGGAGGTTTGGATCATTATTAAGTCATAATTAAGCAGATTTTTTAAAAGCAAAAGAGGGAGGTGTCAGGGAGCACACCTGTAATTACTATGCATAAAAATAAAAACAGCCATAGGGCATCTTAAAAGAGCAACAATTGTTCACTACTGCTGTGTGTCACAGGGAAAGTTTTTACCAGAAATTCAAAACTCTACGACAGAAAGGAGGTTTGGATCATTATTAAGTCATAATTAAGCAGATTTTTTAAAAGCAAAAGAGGGAGGTGTCAGGGAGCACACCTGTAATTACTATGCATAAAAATAAAAACAGCCATAGGGCATCTTAAAAGAGCAACAATTGTTCTACCTAAC